CAAAGAATATAGTGGTATCAACAACTCATTTTGGGGTTCTTGAACCCGAACTATCTTTTTGTTAGCATGGAACCCATATCTCAATCCAGGTATCGAATTTCGAAAATATTCAATGCTACTCTGAATCTTTCCCATTCAAGAAGAAACTATCAAAAGAGAAGCGTAATGATGTTGTCAGCAAATTAACAACTCACTTCAAAAATTAAACCTACATTTTAGTATATGTAAGGAAGGTGACTATCAGATTGATTCATATTTTATTATCGGTCTACATTGTCCACAATGCAGGAAACATCATATGAGTTTGGTTGGTAAGTGATGGATTGATAACCAAGACAATAGAACTTATTTGCAATAATGTCAAAGATTCAGGGATGCCACTCAATAAGTTATTACGAAAATGAATGAATCTAACTTTTGAATGCGTATTAATCAAAACATCCATTGAATATTTGGTTCTTCTTGTTGGCATTCTTTACATAGTTCTGTACCTAATGTTACTGGTATTAAACATTCTCGACAACTGGCTAATGTTGATGCTTCGAACGAATATATAGATACCTCGCATTTGAATGTAACGTGTAAAGCTGAACACCATTTCAACATTACATACTGTAAAATAGTAATTTTACATATCACGGGAAATCAATAAATAAAATCGGAAATGATTTACGAAAGTTGCACGCAAAAAAATTTGATCAAGTATTCAAACCAGTCCAAATTCATGTTCAACCACCAATAAAATAATTGACTCGCGAAAAATATCTCAAACAATGGAGAAATAAATGTTCTAACATTATAAAATGTAACAGACCCTTAATCCTTAGATTTAAAAATTAAACGAAAGAATTTAAATTACTTGATTTCGACCGGAGATAACTTGAAAGAAATTCTACACGGAAGGTTCAAATAATGTTTAAGGGATATATTTAAAATTAGGATAATTTAGGATTTCAAAGAAATCGGAGACTAGATTATAGAACCTTTAACATGCATAAATAACGTTGTAATTTTCTTAACTTCATGTAATATCTTTATCTTCATCTCTATCTTGTAACAACAATACCTTAATAATAAAATACGAACATAAATATACTTTTTTTAACTAAACATTTGCCAGTGGAAGAACCCATTCGCTTGCTAAACTAAATTAACTAACTAATTAATTACTATTTTACCAGGGGGACGCCTTTGATAAGTATAGTTGTGTATATATTTCTTTTAATTTTATTTCTTTGGCTTAGGCCAACGCCTAAGAGGAGTAAACCTTAGCTGGGCGCGGCCAGTCCAGAAACTGAACCTAAACATAAAGGAATAATGCCCAACCCGATCGTGGCTAAGTAATAAGAAAGCCTAAAGAACAAAGGCGGATATTTAGGAAGGTAAATATCTTGGGAGAGCTGTGCTACTGTCACCGATTATTATTTGGGGAGCATATTAATTGATGATAACAATCAAAATGAATTGGCCTACCAACGAATTATAAAAAAAATTTTTTTTTTTATTTAGTAACTAATTTATTTGTTAAACTTATTATTGATAAATTTTTCTTTAAATCAAAAAGTGAACTCACGTATAATAGATTTTTTAAAGCAAGATAATTATGATATACGTGGATCGTTTGAACAGTTTTGAGCCTCTGTTTACTGTACAATCTTTTACATAATAATATATGATTAAATACTATGAGTTTCATAAAAAACATGGTATTGTTTATATTTTTTGATTTTAAGTTATGAAAATTTCAAACTTGTCTTCTAAAGTAAATGGCTTCTAAATGCAAATTAATAACAAATCTCTTGGAACAAGAAAGGCTTGTAATTATGCCACATCCTCCATACAGTCCTGATTTGGAACCTTGCGACTTTTATTTATTTCCTAAAATTAAAACTACTTGAGGAAAGAAGTTTGATAGCATTGAAATTTTGGCAAGAGCTGTTCAGTCAATTGTTGAAAACATCCCAAAAGAGGAGTATATGAAAATTGGTAGAGAAGGCTGAAACTTTGCATGGATGTAGATGGTGAGTATTTGGAAGGATTGATGTAATTTTTTATTTATTATATATATATAAATTTTTTAGAAACAAAGAAATGGTCAAAACTTTTCAAACAACCCATGTAAACTTTATTATGATGACATGAAATTTTTCGATTGATATATATAGAAGTGTCTAATACTAAAAGCATTTTTGTTACAATGAAGAAAGATAATAAAATAATATCAAATATAAAATACATGGTAAATTAATGAATATTTGTAAATCTATGAGGCTGCCAAATAATAATGATGACGATATATACGTTAAGTGTTAATATTACGAGTTTTGAAAATAAAAATAAAATCACATGATATAATTTTTTTGCAAAAACAAAAATGGAATTGTCAACAAGTTCTAGAAATAACTTTTCTACAGGAGTTGACATAACTTCGCTATTTACAACTTTTAAAAATTCATTGGATGAACATGTAATAATCTTAATTGTCATTATTGTTATCATTACATCAATATTGAAACTTATTATGAATTAATATTACCATGATAATTTATTAAGAAAGTATGCAAGGCGTGAACGAATTATTAAATGCTCAAGGTTTTGTAATAATAACATTATTATATATTATTTATTTTACAGCAAGTTTTGTAATTTATTTCTAATAATCTTAATAATAATCATTAGAGATATCACAATTCAAAGTAAAAATTTAATAACTTTTGCACAAAGGTAAAAGCAAAAATACAACCAAGAATTATTAATATTATTATAAATAAATAAAAAGGTATTTCAAGTATATTTAAAAAACAATAATTTCTCAAAAAGAATCACACCAAAAACATTGAATTCATCAATTGAAAAATCTGCAACAACAAAACAGGAGATTCTTAAATTGTTTAAAGATATCTCTGTAGAGTTACAAGGTGTTAATTATTATAGGTAATAAATATCGATGTTATTGAATTATCATAATGTTTATTATCATTACCTCACAATAATCATAATCTCATAATAATCGTAATCATAATTATAATGATTATCATCAAGGTATCATAAAAACATTAGTGATTCATTGCAGGAATATATTGAGGCAATGTCTCTTCTAGAGTACTTGCATAATAGAAAATTGCTTGACAAAATTAAAGATGTTGATAATGATTTCAAAGATGAAAATGGAACTCAAGTAATTAATAGTATTGTTTATTTTTATGTGAACATGCGATTTAATAATAATAATAATAATAATAATAATAATAATAATAATAATAATAATAATAATAATAATAATAATAATAATAATAATTGTTATTATTTAGTTTTTACAAGTAACAAATGAAGATTACTTATTAGGTGTAGCAGATCTATCGGGTGAATTGATGAGATACGCAACGAATTGTATTGGAAGAGGTGATCATGATTTTGCATCAATTATTGGTCGATTTTTAAGAGATTTAAAATCTGGTAAATATAATATATAATTTGGAATAAATTTTCTAATTGATCCTTATATTAATTGCATATAATATTTTCAATAGATTATGAAATTATTGCTCACAATAAATATTTCGGAAGAAAATTGGAAGTTATGAAACAAAATTTAAATAAAGTAGAAGATGGTAAAGTTTCATTTCATTTTTTCAATTTCAATCTCTATATATTTTTATTTTGGAAAAAATTTTTAACTTTCATGATTATTATTATATTTTCAAGTTTGTTATGCAATTAAAATTCGTGGATCAGGTATTTTTTTTTTCAAATAATCTGCACAATATGCATATATGTTAATATTTTAATAAATATTTAATAAATCATTTTTATAGAATATCCAAAAGAATTCTATCAACATATAGTTGCTGAACATACTAAAAGGTTTGAAGAAACGGACTGATGAGTAAGAAACAATGATCATTTTATATCTGATTTTCACTCACTTGAGAAATTTGCATGTAAAAAATATTGAATTTGTTTTTTTAGCAGAATATATATTAATAATAAAAATTATTGTTTGTCTTTAACAAGTAAAATTTGTTATTCTAAATTGGAATTACCCTATTATAGTTGACTGTGATGAAAAGAAACCCCCATTGCTGTTGCTGTGTCAGCAAGATTTTCTGGCCACAATCACATACAGCAGTGGGGTCAATTTAAGTCCCCTAAAAACTTCAGGCCTTTCTCTCTCATTCTTGTTCATGTATAAAAATATGTTCCTTATATCTTGGGCAGTGTTAACACCATGATTCCAGTGGGTTTGGCACATATAGTTGCAGTTGGGTTAATCTAATCCAGATGACTTTTTTGAATTGGTGTACTATATCCAACTTCATCAAGATAATCTATTACATTTTCCTATAAGTTTTGATTATTAGAACACATTTTTTAAAAATTAAGTATCAAATAACAACAGAAAAGGAAAACCCAAAATCTGATGTAGTTTCATAATAATTCTAGTTCTCTGGAATTGTACAATCAGCACCACTTCAACCTATAGACAAGTTCCTGAATACCCAAGTTTCATTGCACATACTACCATTTCATATCCATTTATAAAATTGCCCAGTTGATGTATCCCAATGAATTTTGTTCATGCTAGGGCTTGCCATTTCTAAAAAAAATAGATGTATGAGTATTTTTTGATTATGGAACATAGAGTCTGAAATCTGGCCCTACGTAGTTTGAACCTTTAGATTCTAAACCGATCCTATAAAAAACGAATCAATTTCTTTGAAAAAATTAACTGGAAATACGAACTAGTATCCTAAATCAGGAAAGTCTTGTGTATATCATATTTATTAACAGTTTTATGACGATATAAATTGCCTTGTTCAATTTTTTCATATCAATTAAAGGATTCCACAGCACATACTTTCAAGTAATCTAAAATCATTTTATTTATACACCCATTTTGATTTATCGAACATTCCTTGATATATTTTTCAAGTTCTTCGAGAGCATCTCGCCGAAATTTCTACAAATGAAATAAAAAAAAAAAATATAATACGAACATTATATGTTATTTAATTCTTGAGCCTTTTTGTTCTCCTCCGCAAACAACTTTGGTATCACCTGGAATTTCAATATATTCAAAGTATGGGTTGACAAGTGGCTTGATTTCGGCAGTTTCATAAGGTGTTAAAAACCAATGTATGTCTGCTCAGTTTTTTTGCTAAAAAACTGACGAAGCAGCAAACAGTTTATAGATATATTTCATAAAAAGTACCTTTCTGTATATAATATTACCTCTTATTACACTTGCACTACTTACCTGCACCGTTTAATACAGTTAAACTTCGTTTCAATGAATTGTAATTAAATTCGCGTTAAAGTTACAACGAATTTTTGCACATAATGACATAAAAAAAACGTGTTTATAACTATATCTGTTAATAATTCTGGGATTAAAACTCCAAAGCTATATATATCTGATGCTGGCTGCTTTATGTGATATAGAATTGATGGCCCTAAATCTACATATAACTGTTTGCTACTATGAAGAAGAATTTTTTGTCAGGCTTCTAAACTATTTTTTGTCATTAAAAACATATAATTGGTCTTGTTTCATTAATTGAAAAAAAGAGTAATGGTAGAAATACTTTGTGAGTTGTGTAAATTTTTTAATGCTGCAACTGTTTCTTTACGAGATTCATTTTTCCATTTATCTAAACCAATCTTCTCAAGGATCCATTAATATAATATCTATTATTATATATTTGTTGAAAAAATAACAATTGTTGGGATTAAAGCGCAGAAAATTTCTGTTGTCTTCACTTTTTAGAGGATGTTTTCGCTCCATCTTCATGGGATCTGTTTTCATCATTCGATACGGATTCATTTATCATAACTTTTGTGTCTTGATCATGATTTTCTGGTATGGTTCTAGGTTTGTTATTAATATCTACCACACATGCCTCGGCTTCATGATAATATTCCGGAAAGAGTATTTTTAAATTAGAATGTTTTAAATAGAAAGCTTTTTTTTTTTTAGTCCGAGTCGAATACTACTTACCTTGTAATTCATTGGTATACTAGCCACATCAAAAAACCAGTTTTCATGGGACGAAAATTAATACAAGATCCATTTTTAGATTCGGGAGTTATTTTATCCTTAATATAAAAAATTACAAGATATATTTTACCATTTTTTTACCCAAAAAAAATTTTCATGATGCCCAAATCATTTTTTAGATATCCTGAATTGGTACTTTTAATTTTATGTTAGGTTTTTCTTTTAATGAATTTAACAAGACTCGTTCTTAATTTTTTGCATTTAGGATCATGCAACTGCTGGTATTACCGCTGGTGCCGTTACAACTATTAGTTTACATCCATTTGATTTGATCAAGACAAGATTTCAAGGTACTTTGTTTATATCAATCAACTTGGTAAAAATTATTTAATCTATACTTTTGATTGATCATGTTAAAAATCAAACAATAGTGGATGATTCAGCGAGAAAGATATTTCAAAGGCATCAATTTGGTGCCACTTTTAAAACAATGAATATTATTTGGAGAAAATATGGTTTAAAAGGGTTATATCGAGGCGTTTCTCCTAATTTTACTGGAGCTACCACGAGTTGGGGTCTATATTTTTATTGGTAAGGATGTAAAAAAACCAAAACAATGGAATCACATATAATAGTTATTTGGTAGGTTTTCTGTTAAAAAATTTAAAACCAATAATTAAACTTTAAATCAATTTCATTCTTTTTTCTTCTGCTTACAAATATTTGGATGAACCCATAATTTTATCATCTTGTATTAGGTATGATCTATTTAAACAAAAAACGGCAAGTAATAACAAATCATCTGAATTATCTCCAATACAACATTTAGTTGCTTCTGCAGAAGCTGGTAAATCATTCAATCATATATTATTATTTTAATTAATTAACCATTTAATAAACTAATCAATCACATATACACTCACTTAATATACATAAATATATTATTGATTGATTATTTGATAATAAGGAGCAATTACTGCACTATTTACAAATCCATTTTGGGTTATTAAAACCCGAATGTGTGCTACCAATATAGATGATCCTAGAGCATACAAAGGTTTATTCGATGGTTTATATCAAATTTTAAAATATGAAGGAATACGTGGTTTGTATAGAGGTATAATTCCTGCATTCTTTGGTGTTTCTCATGGTGCTCTTCAATTTATGGCTTATGAAGAAATGAAGAAATGGAAATTGAAAATTGGTTCAAAGGAAGATCGTAAAAAACTAGTAAGTCTATATACATATCCTTCTATTAGTATAATATTTTTACTTATTATCTTCTGAAAATTTTTATCATCATCAAAAAGGACAACCTAGAATATCTTTTGATTGCTGGTTCTTCGAAAATTTTTGCTACCATTTCAACCTATCCATACCAATTAATTAAAGCTAGATTACAAAACCAAAGCTTTGAAGTTAAATATAACGGTGTAATTGATACAATAAAAAAGGTCTTCAGGTAAATGTATAAATTATTTAAAAAATTAACCTAATAATCATAATCATAATCATAATATATTCCATTTTGATTAGATCAGAAGGTTTTTTTGGTTTTTATAAAGGTTTAGCTCCTAATATTTTACGTGTACTTCCAGGAACTTGTACAACATTTTTGGTGTATGAAAATATGATGGAGTTTTTTAGAAATCATGCTAATGATCATTAAAGGAAAAAATAAGTTATTACTCCTAGAGCTTTACTGATTCGAACTTTTCAGAAGAATATATAATATATGATCCATCTTATTGGAAATGATCTACCTTTTATTTTTAGCATACTGTAATTGTCAATTGCATCGAGATGTAACATCCTAACATTAGGAATATGTAAAAGATAATTCAAAATATCTAATTCTACTATAAATAAGTCTAGCATAAAATTGTTTTTCTCACTTTATTACATAATGATATTTTAGAATTTCAATTATGGGGATTCAGCTATTAATTTTGACACCATCTTGACAAGAAATCAGCAAGAAATCAGCAAACAATTGACCATATAGCCTCAAACATGTCATAAATGTTTATGAATGGTTGATTTTTGCTATAGCAATATGCATTTTTAATTTTAATCTTTTTTGGTAATTTTTCTTATAAGAAAAAAAAAGGTTCTAGGAAAGAATGCACTTGATTGTCAAAAATTCCTTTTACAAAATAAAATATCTGCGATTTTTATATTATTTGATAGCTCTAGTTCTTGATATTATAATGTAACTTTTGATTTTGATTCACATATTATGAAAAAAAAATAGTGATGTTGGCCGGCTAAAAAAAAATTTCTCTTAACATTCATTTGTGCATCTGGAATTTTAGTGCAGAATTTAGTGGCATAGACGTTTAGTTGAGATGGACCACCTGCATTACTTAGAATGACAAAAAACATACATTTGTTCAAAGAACAAATACAATACATCAAGGATAAAAATTATAGAATTTCTATTCGTAATGCAAATTCTTATCTTAATTCGAATTATTCGTCTTATTCGAATTATTCGTTCTATTCGAATTATTTAAAGGCGAGATATTATAATAAAATTATAGTAATAATAATTATAGTAGTAGTAATAATAATAACGGCAAGCTTAGTATCATCTGAAAAGTTTTTCATCAACTGCGACTTATTTAAGTTCTTAGTCGGCTTAGGTAAAAATCACAAATTCGCTATAGCTCAAAGATCTCAAATCATGTCTTTTCATAGGTAATCATACTAGAAAAGAAATCAGCGAGATTCTTGGTTTCCAGCTGCAGCAGTGAAAAGAGCGTTCAAGTTTATGGAAAATATGAAACACCAATAAGCAAACAGAGAAGTGTTAGACCCAAAAAGTACGCTTTGAAGAAAATCATTGCTAACAATAATAGAATTGCTGCTAGTGGTATATAAACGAGACCACCGGTTTAAATGTTTCAGTTACAACAATTTATTAAAGATTTCATGAAATTGGTTTAAACTCACGCAATGAAGCATTAAAACCACATCTCAACGAACCCCAGCGTCAAAATAGGCTCGAATGGTGTATTGATAGACTAAACTGGACCATAAGACAGTGAAGAATGTCATACGGAGTGATAAAAGTTGCCTTACACTCACTATTTGGTAACGATGCGTCAACACGAATTTGGCGCGAAAGGGGATTCGTTTTAATATTGAAAATCTGGTACCAACGATAAAGCATGGTGAGGAGGAATAATGGTTTGGATTGCTTCGCAGGTAAAGAGTTAGGACCATTGGCTAAAGTAGAAGAAAAATAAACCATTAAGATTATATCATTATTTTAGTTGCCATCACTGCACAAAAGCTACTTTCGAAGAAATCTCTCTATAAATTATTACAAATCATTACAAATTTCAAGATGATGACGCGCCTGTTAATACAGCTAAAAATGTTATAAAATGGTTATCTGAAAAAAGGATGAGGGTTCTGGAAGATTGGCCTTCTTAATCCGTAGACCTTAATCCAATTGAACACTTATGGGATGAGCTTGGTAGGAGATTAGAAAACATCCTACACATCAAAAAAATAAGAAAATTATTTGAGAAAAGAATGGTAACATATCCCGCGCGAAAAATATTTGAGATTAATTGACATTATTCCAAGGATAGAGAATGCATCCTCAATAATGGGTGGCTAACAAGTTATTAACATTATTTAAGAATTTTTTTTTGTGCGCGCAGATAGAAGAATAACTCAAATGTTATCGATATATATTTTTTTCTTTGCTTGTTGAAAAATTTTTTTTTTTACTTTGGGAATATGATTCCGCAACAGAAAATTTCACTGATTCATAAACGGATCATAAATTAATGTTGTGCGTGAATTTGGAATCTGAAATCCACGCGCGAAATTCAAATTAGCCAATCAGAATTTTGTATTCAAACACCTACCCCAGAATTTTAATTATTTAAATCTCGAATTGACGCAAATTTGGTTTTCACGCATAACATTAACAAACAAAAAGTGGACAATAATTTTGCATATGTTACTACTATTAATGTGAATGTTCGAATGTTATTTCGCTTTCTGATATTTGAATAGGAAGGAACACTAAGTACTAGGTGAAGTATATGAAAAAATACTCAAAGATCATTTATCACCTTTTCTTCAATCTTTGGACTATATCTAATGTAACAATGAACATTTTAGCTTAAAAACCATATCTATTTTGTTTTAATAAAGCTTTCTTCTGAGTTTTAAACAACCTTTTTCTGCCTGTCTCACCCCTAAATAAATATATATCTTTAAAACAATTTCAACCCGAGACATGTTTTTAACACAAATCGCTGTAACATAAATATATATATATAGGAAACCAATTACCTTTCCTCAAAAGAAAAGATGGAATCATGCATAATAACATCATAATATAAATTTTTTTTGCAAATATTATTTATTGTTATAATCAAATTGACAATCAGAATCAATCAATCAATTGCAATTTAATTCTTTCTTCTTGGTTTAAATCTTGTTCACATATCTGACGAAAGTTATTGACATTTTGTGTTTTACAATGTAGAAGGAAATGTAAAATATATTCCTATATAATAAAAAAAAAATGATTATTATTATTAAATTTTATAATATGTATATATTATTATTATTACACGCTTACACTTAATTTAAGATTATAAATTTCATCATTTTTTATATCTGGATCATTTTCTATATCTTCAAGCTCTTGTTCTCTATCCAAAAAATCAGAAATCACGTAATTTTCAGCAGGTGTAAAAGGTGATGGTTGTTCAACATCCTCCCAGTCATCATCCTATTTTTTTTTTTTTTTTTTTTTTTTTCAAAATTTTCAATGTCACACACATAAAATAATTATTATTTATTATCTTACACACATACATTATCATCCGATTCAGCACCATCATCCTCTTCTTCTTCATATAAATGTTCAAAACCTCTTATTAAATTATTATTGCTACTATCACCATTATTATTCTCTGCTATAGTTGTTTGAAGATCTGATATTAATAATTTTAAAATTTTTGATAGTGCTGAAATTGCTGTATAATGATCAGGATCTTTTTTATATTATAAATTTTATAAAAAAAATAAAAAAATAGAATAGTAGTGATGATGTTATTATATTAACATGATTTCCAAAATGAAGAAGAATAAAATCTTTTCGTGCAAAACTAACTTTGACGTGACTTTGAACGTGTTTTAATTCCTAATTAATATATATTTAAATATTATATAAAATTATATCTCTTAAATTAATCTACAAAAATAATAAAAATTAAATATAAATGTAACATACCAGTAGCATTGGATTCTTTTAAATCACCTTTAACCTGAATAGCGCTTATTCTTGGATCACCACAACTAAAAAGCTTCGTTAAAGCAACAGAGCTATCCAAGAAAAAAGCCCGTAAATATTTTAAATACATTTATAAAATTATATGCATATTTATACATAATTCATATACATACCTAACTTTACAATTGTAATAACCAGTAAAACTATCATGGTGTTCAAGCCATTTGTGAAGTAATACCTCAAGTCCACTACGTCCATTTATATCTAATGTTGATAAAAATTCAACTACATTTTGCATTTGTGTAAGGATTAAATGTGCAAATATCATCACAAATGACTATTATTATTAAGAAAAAAAAATTTACTATTATTATGACATTATTATTATTATTATATTATATAAAAAATATGGATGAGATACTTGTATGGATGTTGTTGTTTTGGCGCTATCTAGTTTTAAAGCAACTGCTTTCAACAAATCAGGAAGTACGGGGTTAAGTTTATCGCCAGCCTAATTATTAATATTGATAACAATAAAATCGTGAAGCATTATTTGATTCTTTTGGATAGAAAAATAAAAATAAAAATATTTACTTTTTTAATTAAAATTACAACTAAATCTCCAAGAAAAGCAGCTGATTCCCCTTCAATTGGTTGAAGTGATTTAGCAATATAATCTATCAAATAACTTAGTCCAGATTTACCAATATTATCAGTCCTAAAAAATACATAACAATATAATAATATAATAATTAATCGATATTATTATTTTTGATTTATTTTTTAAATATAAAGTTATTTACCATTCAGAAATTTGCGAACAACCCTTTTGTACAAGATATCTTAAACAAATTTCTCCACTCTAAATAAATAAAAATACATACATATTAATATTAATAATTAATATTCTATAATATTATTCTCTGAAATAATTCAAAAAAAAAAATAAAACCAATAATCAATTAACCAATCAAAAAAATACCTGCAATATACTACGTTCTTCTGTTGTTAACATTAAATGAATTAAGGGCGGAAATATATGTTGTATATATACGAACGGCAAAGGTGATATTGTTGTTCCTCTGATAAGACTTGTTATTAAATCTATAGCAGACTTTATGAAAAAATTTTATTATTGTTTGTAAAAGTTTTTTTTAAATTTGTACAAATTTATTTTTAAAAATATTTTTTTTACTTCAGTATGTGATGAATCAATTGTAGGATTCATTATTATATTGGCCAAGGCAGGTAAAGCTCTTTCTATAAATGTTGAATTAATTGATAAAGTTTCAGAAATCGAATTTACCGCCGACATAACAAGATGTTCTATTATCATAAATAGTTAAATTAGTTAAAATAAAGAATTTAGCTTTTAAAAAAATAAAAAATAAAATTTATACCTGAAGGAAATTTTTGCCAAACGTCAACCACCATTGGTCCTATCAAACCCTCATATTGAAATATTACATCCCTATTTATCTAATAAAAAATGAAGACATTAATTTTAAACTAAAACGTGTGAGTTTTCAGACCTCCAGCCATCAAACTTTATAAAAATATATAGAATACATATATACGAGATGTGTATATATATATATATATATATATATATATTACTTTAATAGCTCTTTCAAGTGTTTCCAATACTAATAATAGGAAATCTTCTGTTGTCACATTAATAAGATTTGCTACACATTCAATAATGGTTCCTTGAAATGGTAGAACATATTGTTCATTTAAATTTCGACAAAAACTATTTTATTTATTTTCAGAATAAAATACTTTTTGTTAAATATTTGTTTATATACTATTTATGTAAATATAATTATTACCTTTTTAATGCACGTAAAGCGGATACTTTTACAGGAATAGTACCGTCAGGATCTTTAATCGCTTCAATAGCAGCTTTAATAAAACCTGATGTTAACTCTCCAGGTAAAACTGATGCAAATTGGCTTGCGAAAACAAATGCACGTCCTCTAAGAAATGGAAATCCTTCTATATATATATATATATATATATATTATAAATGTTTTTTAAAAAGATTATATTTATATAAAAATAATAATCTCAAGAAAAAAAAGAAACACACCTGGCTCATTTAAAATTTGATGTATTATTTGTTCAAATAATATGCCAAGATTTATTCCAATATTTAAATTTTTATCATTTAATGCGGATATTAAATTAAATCAAATCCTTAATATAATACTTTACTTTTGTGAAAAATTATGTTCATGAATCTGGTGAAGGAGTAAAAATTTATCAAGATTCTGATGGAGAAGTTATTGGATTTGAACATTTATTATTTGTTCAATTTGAATTTATTGGATTGACAATTAGAAAGAAATCTGTTAAATCACTTTTTGAAGAAAATAAAAATAAAAATAAAAATGATAATAATATTAACGAACAAAATAATAATACTGATTTTGTGTCTCAGCTTGTTTGGATTATTATACAATACATGCAAATGACTGTTGAACAAGTAAGTTATTACTATTATTTTTTAGAGAATAGATTAATTATTTAATGATGTTAATATATATATTGTTATTTGATATTGCTATATTTAGGCAGAAACTTGGATTTCAGATGCTAATCAATTTGTAGCTGACGATGATGATGATACCTTCAACTTTAGTGTTAGAGTTGCAGCAGAAGATTTACTAACGGTAGCTTATCAATTTTAAAAGATAAAAACAATTAATATTTATTTATTTATTTATTTATCTATCTATCTATATTTATTATATAAAGATATTAATGGACAAATTTCCGGAACGCACATTAAAAAGTCTAACAGCAATTTCACAACATAACATGGCTGAATCTAATAAAGCCCGTGCTGACGGTGATCCTAATTGGTAAAGTTTATAATTAATAACTATTTTTAATAAAGATTTCTTTTAATTTATAAATAAATAAAACTTTATTTTTCCTAGGTGGCAAATTCATGAAGCATGTTTAAAAGCAATCGGGTTTGTTTCTAATGAACTAATATCCGCATTAAATGATAAAAATTTAAATATTGGAATAAATCTTGGCATATTATTTGAACA